AAAAAAATAAGAATTAATTCCAATTTATTTATTTTTACATCACATTGTTTACCTATTTATATCATAATCATTCTCAAAAAAAAAATTTGCAAAAAAATGATGTATAATAACAAAATTAAGTGTTGAATTAAAAAAATGTGTTGAGTGAATATATATTGACAGTGCTGGGTTATAGGAAAAAACGGAATTGATTGAGTGAGTACGTATAAACTAGTGTGGAATTAAATTTATTGACGGACTGGGTTGCGGTTAGCCTAATATGTGGGGGATAGAGCTCCACTCTCTATCTGTCAGATTGTGATTATAATTCAATTTATATCTCCCATCGTGCCGTCTGGTCGATGTTGGGGATCCTCAAGAATGAGGTGTCATCCTTTTTTCCCCTAATACGTGGTTTTTTTTTCTTTTTTTTTCCTAATACGTGGGTTGTAGCAAAATTGAGGGTGAAAACTTCAGATTTGGCTATTCAACCCGTGGATTGCGGGAAGCCTAACGGTAGATGCTTTAATGTTGAAAAACAAAATGTGAATATCTCTTTGACCAAAGAAAAAGATGAAAGAGTGACTACGCGCGTTGACACAAAGGCATCTAGTGGCATTCACACCGGATAACGCAACGCGCCTATGGTATCATTTGCGGACGGCGTCCAGTAATAAAAAGACGACGACGAGAACATCAACCAGGAACGAAGCTATGGAGGTGAAAAGGCGGGCGGTGGAAAGTCTGGTGACGAAACTGGGTTCGGTATCGGAGCGGGCCCGAACAGAAGCCATCTGTGAGCTGCGAATCGTCTCAAAGAACGACGGCGACAGTCGGCAGTTGATCGCCGACGCCGGCGCTATCCCTTACCTTGCGGAATCGCTCTATTCTTCCGACAAAGTCTGCCAAGAGAACGCTACGGCCGCCTTGCACAACCTCTCCATCTCATCTAAGGACGCTCTGATATCCACCCGCGGACTCCTTGACGCCCTCTCACACGCGCTCAGGAACCCATCTTCCGCCTTTACTGCCCAGTGCGCCGCCGCCACCGTCTTTAGCCTCCTCACCGAGGAGAAATTCCGGCCCATCATCGGCCACAAGCGGGACATCGTCTTTGGCCTAATCGACATCGTGAGAAACCCTAATTCGGCTTCTAGATCGATCAAGGATGCGCTCAAAGCGCTTTTTGCCGTCGCGCTTTACCCTCTCAATCGGTCCCTTATAATTGACCTAGCGGCAGTGCCTGCGCTGTTCTCCTTGCTCTGCAAAGACGGCAGACTTGGCGTTCTAGAAGATGCCACGGCGGTGATCGCCCAAATAGCCGGCTGCAAGGAGAGCTGGGAGGCATTCAGAAAGGTCTCAGGTGTCGGCGTCTTGGTGGACTTGCTGGACGACGCCACTGGATCAAGCAATAGAACCAAGGAAAATGCAGTCTCTGCACTTTTGAATTTGGTGCAGTGCAGTGGGCAAGAGGTGGCTAAGATCATTCGCGGATTAGTTTTAGGCGCAGTAGATGGAATTATAGAAGTTGCAGAGAATGGAAGCGAGAAGGGGAGGAGCAAGGCAATGTCATTATTAGAGATTCTTGACGTGAGCTGCTCTGTTTTGGGAGATGAAGATTCTTAATGCGAGCAGCTAGCTCTCTTCAGGAAGATCATAAGTTTGGAGGTGACTGTCTTAGTTATTTAGTTTGTGTGATAATGATATAACTTGAAAAGTAAATATGTCTCTGGCTGTATAGATGAATGGATTGAATTATACCGTATGAGTTATGACGATTAGTGTGTTTTTTCCATCTGTTTGTAGCAAGTCCAGCCTATGATTAAGTTATGAAGATGATAATGATGATTGTGTTCTTATCATTCTTCTTGCCCTCCACACCTGTATGTTTTGTGGCATGGGGGTGAGTTTCATCATAATGCCTATACTTAAACAAAAACATTTCTTCATCATTTGTCAACAATACAACAACAATTGAGTCTTGTTCTAAAAGGATTTTGAGGTCGGCTAATATTTATCAATCCATGATACCGGAGCCAAAAAGAAAAATAATAAAAAGAAAAAGATAACATACGATAAAAAGGCAAGATAAAGATAAAAATAAAAGAACATAAAAAAGATAAAAGATAAAAATAACATAAGAACATAAAAAAGATAAAGAAGATAAAAAGGATAAAGGATAAAGAGAGAAAAGAGATCAATCCTCACGGAAATTGTATATTTACTCAAAGAGTTTATTGTTAGTAATTTTCAATCTCAAACTGATTAGTTGACTACCAATATGCTTATTCAGTTATGCCTATATGTCATACACTCATACCATCGAATTCAAAATCAAAATTGCATAGAATTGAAAATTACAAATGTAATGTGACAATGACTTAAAAAAGAACCTGTTTTAATTCAAGTAGAACAAACCTGATGTAAAAAAGTTATTTGTTCAACTTCTTGATTACACGAAGAAAACTGGGGAAGCTTGCCTCGATTACTTCGATTAAGCAAAACCAGTTCTGCCATTTTCCGATTTCCTTGGTAGGCTACCAGCGGGCATTATTAATTTTTATACAAACTAACACAAAAGTCCAAAACAAACTTTCAAACCTGCTTATTGCTTGAAAGAAGTGAGTAAAGAACTGAAGAAGCTATTGATTAACTTGATGAACTCTGGCTTCAATCTTTGAGACAGGCATTAGCTTGTGTTGTGGACATCACATTAGGCTAAATGCACATTCCAGAGTAGGATGTGTTTTGATTGTCACCCTCCGGCCCATTTTACCTTTTATGTTTGACATCACAAACCTTTGGTGAAAGGTGACTGACTGTGATATGGATGACCTGGTCAGCTATGAATCGTTTCTTGCGAGTATTCACTCTCAAACGAACTTATCTAACTGAGTAACTGGAGTCCAGTGATTCATGAATTCAGACCAGTGAAGCTATTAGCCTATTAACTAGTCTCTTTCAATGTGGTGAGACTGAAAGGCACTTGATTCGTACTGAATTGTCACCTGTCTGTCCCGAATCTGTATTGCAAGCAAGCAGCTTGTTGTCATAACCTTTTCATCCTGTCATGAAGTTTGGGAGGTCTCCATACTTAACCTCTCTCAATTCTCCAGAGTTCTAGGTTTCACTACAGTAGTAATGATAATATGGAGGTTCCTTGTAAGTTCTAGGATTCCTTGTTAGGGGAACAAGTCCACGACTTTGTGGTCTACATAAGAATACGAGTAGCAGGGCGCGTAGCTCAATTGGTAGATAGGGAATACTCAGGGCCGGTCCTGAGATATTGAAGGCCCTGTTCGAAATTAGATAAAAGGCCCTAAATTATATTTTTAAAAAAACTACCTTCATCTCAATGTTAAAAAGTTAAATCCTCCCTATTAATAATTACTTCAATTTTAAAACGAAGTAATTAAAATTTAAATATTCAGAAATTATATGAAAATTTCTACAAAGTTTCAAAATCCAAGTTAAAATTTAATCAAGAATTGATATCCCAATTAAGTGAATAAAGATCAATTTTGCAACTCAACTTGGGATCGGTGGAGTGTTATATACTTCGTATAACACATGTAGTGAAAATAATAAACTTAAAAAAAAAGTAAGTATACAATGTAATGAAAAAACTTATTTTGATTGCTATAAAAAAGATATCATAATAAAAGTAACCCAAATAAATAAAAATTGATATAGCTAATTATAAGGACATCAAAGATGTAACTTACAAATTAAGTATATACAGAGTACGGTAGTATAGTACGTATAGCTAACTTACCAATAAGCAAGTATATACGTAATTGACAAAATAAATTGGAAGTAATTTTTATTGATTTCACTAAAGGTAGTTTAACTAAAAACGATCACTATGTTCACACTAGCTAACATGGTAAGTTGGTACGAGTCTATTTTCTGTCCTACGGTGATGAGCGTTCGACTCCCGCATGCTTCAAGATTTTTTATTTGACTCATATACGAAGTATATAACAGGGCTATTACCCTAGCTATCGGGCCCTCCGTATACTAACAGGGCTATTACCCTAGCTATTGGGCCCTCCGTATACTTGGGCCCTGTGCGACCGCACCGCTTGCACAGCACCAGGGCCAGCACTGGGAATACTACATGCGGTAAGTCTCAAGTTCGAATTATAGCAACTGCGAGAGAGGTTACTATCTAAAAATACATAGAGCCTCTACAAGTGGGTCATAACCCCACTCGCTATATGCTAGTTTATGATTTACATTCTTCCAGTTGCCCGGTCGGTGTTGGGGGTTCTCAGAGATGAGTGTCTTCCTTTTTTACATTTTTTACATAAGAATATGAGTATGTTTGGTGTAACTTGTTATGCGTTAAGATGATGTTCAGGGTTAATATAATGAAGTAGTGCACGATTGGCTGCGTTTCATTCTACTGCTTATAATGAATTAGTATATGGTTGACTATCTACCTTGCGAGTTATTTTCCAAATTATGGCCACCTAACCCACCTTCCCAATTTGCTATGAATCTATGATGCTTCTTTTTCCCTCAAGAAAATCTTGGTTGCTTAAGATACAGCTAGGCTATCAATGCCGGGGAGGCGAACATTAGATGGGATAAAGTAAAACTGAAGCATAAGCTTTTCAAGACATATTGTTTGTAATTTTAGTTTTGCATATTTTATTTTTGAATAGAAATGGTGAGCAATCTATATGACTAAAGTCAAGATAGTGAATAAGTATGTGAATTTTAGTGGTACTGAATAGTCACATTTTTTTAAGTTTTATTTAGGAAAAACCCCATAATGGTCAATGTTTTTTACTCAAATTTACCATTATACAGGAGTACTATTACTAGTTAAAAAGGAATATTGTTACAGTTAAATAAGAACTATTTAGTTGCGTTTTAGGATGTTTTTAGTTGGACTGTTTTCAGTTCCAGATTAGACTTAACGAACGGACTTCCATAGTTATAAAATACATAGAGACCAGACTAGATCAGTTCAGATCAGACCAGACTCAAACAAACCAGATCAAACCAACAAATTTCAGTCCAAGTAAAAACATCCTTACCTTTGTTATTATGACTATGAGCTCATTCGTCAATTTTACATGGACAACTTAATTCCACCCATGTCTCACGTCCTCACCTGAGTAAGCAAAAGATATCTAGACAAATATAAGATGTAAAATTTAGTTGTGTTTTAGCATTGATATTATGATTAGGGTTTTTACCTAAATATTACAAATAAATAGACAACAGATAAAAAAAGTGACATTTTTTAAATTTCAAAATTGTGAATAATAAGTAGTAAGCTAACTAGTTTACCCCTAGTGACATGACATGCTACACTGACACAAACATAATCACATCCACCACTGCCGCCACTTGACCAGTGACCATCGCCGATCGTCGACCATAGTGACACCAGCCATAGTGCCACTACTCTAGTGATACCACACAGCGACATCCACCACCTCCTCCTCCTTTAACTTGTGACCGGCGTCGGTGTCAGCCACAATGACACAACTTCAGTGACACTACCCAGTACACCGTTCAACCATGCCTCATCCGTTGACCTCCGCCTCGCCTCTTCCGATTGCCGCCACCACCTCCACATCACTATAATGGCTGCTGTCGCCCCTTCCGGCAACGGCCGCTGCACTGCCCCTGCCCTCCCCAACCCCCTTGTCAACCCCAACCCCGATGCAGCCCCTCCCATGCCCCAACCTGACCACCACCCTACCAACCCCCTTCGTAGCCCCCCTCACCTTCCCGGCGAGGGTCCCTTCCCAGCCCGCTCCCCAGTTGCTCTAACCCCTGTCTCCCTAGCAAAAAATTCCAGATCTGCGGCGGATTTGTTCAGCCCCAAGGCGAACGACAGATTTTCCTTGGCCACGAAATTCATCGTCGACCATCAAATTTTCTCCTGTCGCACCGATGAAGCTCTCAGAAGACAGAGTTTCTCGTCGCCGTTGCCGCCAAATTAGAAGGTCGACCCACCGTTGTGCACAATCTTGTCTCTAGTCTTAATTCAACGAATGAAGGCCAAAAATCCTTCGGCTGCAACGGTCAAATGGTTGTTGTGGTTGTGGCGGCGTAGGTGTTGTCTTGGCTGGAGGTTGGGTGGCTTGGAGCCAGGGGAGAAGATGGAGGTTTGATGGCTAGAGGTTGGATGGCTTGGAGCTGGGAAGAAGATGGTGGATCAGTAGATTTGTGCGCGGAAGTAAAGGGAGGTGAGATGCCGGGAATAAGATTGGATGGGTTAAGTTGAATGAGGCTACTTGTTTGTCTAGATTAAAAATAGTCATATTTTTTTCTATCTAAAGCCCATAGGTAATATTTTTGCCATAATGCAGTAAAGACATCTAGACAAGTATAAGATGTATAATGCGAGGGAAATACATAAATATGGACATTCTTATACATAAGTTAATAATAAATAAACACACTTATATTCAATAATTATAATAATCCAATGTGTTCAAATATAGATTGTCTTGCATATTTAATTTTTCTTTTCAGATATTATTTCGCATATGAGCGCATACCAATTAAGGAGCAAACAAGATATGCAACACCTATAGGTTCATTGAAAGTGAGATTGACGAACTCAAGCAAATTCACATCATCCGAACTTGCAAATTGTTACTTACAATTGCAAGACTAAATCTTGGTTAGTATTTCTTGTTACAATTGAGATTAGTCTTCAATTCTCATCATTTCATTGGTTAGTATTCCTTGATATATTGATGGCGGAGATTATTAAGTATATCAACTAAATCTTCCAGGTGATTTGGATTTAACTTACTATGCACAAGTGAACAAATATAGTATAAGTACCCCAATTTCATTCACAACAACTACATTGCGAAACTTGACATTTTTTCCGTTCCAAGAACACTGTTCTACACTTTTTCGGATCTAAGTACTCCAAAATTTTCAGCCGTAAGAACTTTTTTCTACACTTTCTCAGAAAACTCTCTCCAAACGTACACCTTTTGAAATGGCTTGTGGGATTTTTACACTTAATGGTAAAATACCCTAAAAAGAAGCTAATTTTGAATACAAATAAAGCGACATAGATTTTGACACAACATTAAAACTCATTTGGTACGAGAAAAGAAATAAAGAAGAAATGAATTCTTAAGTTATTTGAAAAGAGTACTTAGAGAATGAGGTAAGATTCTAATAAATTTTGTGCTTTGGTTTATTAATGTTTTAATAATGTAAATTCAGCAAGTGGCATAAGAATCCATATGGATCTGAATTGCATGTAACATATGAATAGAGGATCTAGAGATCAAGCGAAGCAGCGATATGTCTTTTGTTAATTGTAGAGGTTACTTGTAAACAAAAGCTTGAATTGAAGATAGTAATGGTGGAGATCACGAGTCATTAACACGAAGTTTAGCATGTAGTCTTGGGATGATTGATCAACACTTCCTACTATTTTGTGGCTAATAGTGACTAAATAGGCGTCAATGCTTATGTGAATTTTTCCTCTTCTCAATCATTTATAGGTTGCAAAAGTAAGACAGAAGCCTAGGAGGTGGCAAAAGAGGTGCAAGGTGGTGATCTTGATGGGTTAACGGAAACGGCCAGACACTTCTGCAGCTTTTATATTTAGCTCGTGTTTTCCATCTACGTTTCTCATAATACTAATTTTTGAAGTTCCGTGCAAGAAAACCCTAAGTTATTTTGGATTTTATTATGGTGGTTGTATTTTGTAAATTGGGTTGAATTGTGTTTTAAATTTGAGACTTGGATGATTGCACCGTGACAAGTCTTTGTATTGAGTTGGTAATGTATCCCCCTAGAGCGAGGTTGTTATTACAACTTAGACTTGAGCCATGAATGTATTGTTGAATTATTAGACGTGGTAATTAACTAAGCTTGACTGCTTGAGCCAACAACACATCAAGACAAATTTTAGCATTCGTGTTTCAATAGACCCATTCAAGGTTTTGATATTATAACCTTAAGATCACACAATGATTCAATGGCTCAGCCGATACGTCCAGGTTCACCTTTAGAAGATAGAAGCATATTGTGAGTAAAAGCACAACTTGATCCAAAGATTATTCAATTCAAATGCAATATAGTGAATAACAAATGCGTTTGGCAATCACTCGTGGAGCCATTGTTAGACAATAGTACAACCTATCAAAAGATTATTCAATTCAAATGCAGTATAGTGAATAACACATGTGTAGACCAGTTTCTCGTGGAGCCGTCTTTAGATGACTGTACAATCACGTTTTGTGAGGGAGAGAACTGAGAGAAGTAGTATATCATGACCATAATTGTTGGTGCTAACCATAATGGAATCCTATTTAGTGAGGTGGTGTTGAGGAGATGTTATTGTTAGATTATGCATGGTCATGCTTTTCACCCCCCCCCCCCCCACTTGAGCTTCAATGAGCGAGGGACTAGATGACTTGTTGTCTCGAAGGATGAAAAAGTTGCAGTTTCACAAAAGAAGGGTTGAGGAAGATCAAGAACGACAATTATGACATGATGAAGCTAAAGTTGAAGTGGTGAAATTGAGGCGGCCAAACAAACTAAGCAGACCAAACACATTAAGTGACATAGGACTTGTATCTGAAGTGAAGACCGGTCTCATTAGTCATCCACTCAACACATGGCGACCGTAGCAAACACAACCTTTTTCCAAATGGCTCACCCTTTGCCTCATTTTGAGAGCATTTGGTATACTCGTTTTCCCTACAATAATATCTTCCCTACTAGGTTGTTTTCCAAGTAAGACTTTTATCGTGGCATGAACATTCTCATCATGGAAAAGGGTTGAGCTCTTTGGACCGGGGAAGATTATACTAAGATCAAAGAGGCATGATTAGCATATGTGGACTATTCACTTTCACCTTGAGCGATCTCATTTGCATTTTGACACATGCATTTTACATTTTATATATAGTCCTTTACAACAACATTCAACTTTTATTTCTATAAGTATTAATCCCCACAGTTTTGAAAGAAATTCCTAGTTTAATTTTACAATTTATAAGAAAGTTAAATTTTTGCTTTAGACTTTTCAGTTGTATCTTTATAAAAATTAGTTTTGGGCCGTTCGGGTAATGCCGAACGGTGTCCTCGTTGATTGTTGATAACCCGTTCGGGGTCTCATAAGATTAGACCAGATTCCCTATGGGCTTGCTCTTTCCTTTGGGCCCTGAAGCTATTCTGGACCGGTCGTTGGGCCGGAGCCCAATATCCCAACATAATATATTTGATCATTGATGGGTCTTGTTATGTGAATATGGCAAAGACTTCTTTGGTCCTATGTTGATATAGTTGATGGACCAGATTGATTAAAGATGATTACAGTTTGATAGCAAAATTTTGAAGCTCCTAAAGTGAACATACGATACTAAGGATTGTGTATACATGTGTATGTCGTCCAAGTGGGAGATTGTTAGATTATGGGACTCATAGTACATGTAATATTCACAATATATTATTTATTAGGTTTAATTGTATGTTATACGTAGTATGTTACTCCCTCTGTCCCGTTAGAAGGTTTTCACTTTCCTTTTTTGGACGTCTCGTTAGAAGGTTCTCATTTCCATTTTAGGAAACAATTAACAATCTTAAGTTACAAATTAGTCATTAAATATTAAAAATAATACATTCATAACATCACAATTATCAATACTAACACATTATAATATATACCTATTAAAATTATTTTTCAAAATATACCCGAAGTACTTTATTTAATTATCACCTAAATAACCGTGCCGTTTTGCTATGTGAACCTTCTAGCGGGACGGAGGTAGTATCTTATATTTAGGCCTACATAATTAGTGATCCTATGGATATTAATTTAAGTGGGATAATATGTTATCTAATAAGGTATAGGACCCAAATGTGTAGAGACTCATGGGCTTAACCTAATTTATGATGGACAGATTAGGGTTAAACATTCTCTATAAATAGAGGGGTTATGGTCCCTAGTTGAACACGACATTCCGTCTTTCTGCATCCCATCGCTAGAGAGATAATTCCCGGGAGTGTGTATCAACTAGAAGACGCAAACCACAACCTTCGGCTCTCGGGTCTCTAAAGATCATATCCAATGGAGTCAGGTACGTTTCCGCTCAGTTAATTCTCTAGATAATTTTAAAATGAAAATTGAAGTATTATCAGATTTATTCCAACAAACACTTTTTACAAAATGACTTTAAAAATCACATTTTTAAAATAGAAACAATCACAAACTCGAAAGGGGTTTTTACCCTAATAGGAGTGAAACATATCATTTTTCCCAAAATAGTACCACTTAGTTTAAACATTCTTAAATAGGACTTTTTATGTGTGATTGGACCAAAATACCCCTATTTCTAACCCCCTGGACTGCTGCCAACTGCCTGCCGCCGACCACCTGCTGCCGCCGCCGGAAAATTTTTCAGAATTTTTTTCTGGACGTTTCCCAGACGCCAATGCCGGAGTTCGCCGCCGCCGGAATCTGCTGCCACCACCACCGGACTGTCCCGCTACCAACAGACTGTCTTGGTTGTGCAAGAGAACTAGGGGAGCAATTAATTGAGTTAATTAATTGCCGGAGTTCGCCGCCGCCGCCACCAGAATCCGCTGCCGACCGGCTGCCGGAGTTCTGCCGCCACCACGAACTGCCCCGCCATCGATGAACTGCCTTGGTTGTGCAAGGAAACTAGGGGGTAATTATTTAGACCGATTAATTAATTAAATAGAATTATGTATAAAAAAGGTAATGTTAGTCCTAGGGAAACCAAACATTAAGTCCTATTTTGAAAAAAAAAACATTTTTGTCTTAGCAATAGCAATCTTCTCAACTCCAAACACATACCAAAGGACTGTAGAATTTTTCATTTAACGACCCGATCGATGTGTCCAAAAACAATTATGAGTATTTTTTTTAGACATCAGGGGATTGTCTGAAAGCTGCTACGTTCAATTGTCCAAGCTCATCACCGACCCTGTTTTTTGTACACAGTAGACCCGTGAACGACACTGGACCTTTTGAACAGCTGTGGACGCAACCACCCGTGACCAGAACAAAAACAATCCGCATCCTAATATCACAATCCATCAATTCATCATATCCATAATTCCATATCCATATCCATATAATAATAATAATATAAATAAGGAGTAATACAGAGTAATAATCCGTTATCGAAACGTGACTTTGTGGTGTACAAACACAAAAAATTAAAAAACAATCACACAAAACGCAACAGTAGTAGGTACTTAATTAAAACAAAAACTTTCGCTAGCTTTAATTTAAGTTGCAAATATAAATAATTGTCGAAGATTACTACTCCGTGTTTTTTTTATCAAATGAAATTAATTACTAATAATCATTCAGCTGCAAACTTCGTGGGCGATGCCTAGTCGGGAATTGGGCCCGTCAAAGATGACCCGGTGGTTCTGCTGCTGCATGCTGGCGATGACGTTGAGGGCGGAGCTGACGTTGTCCGGCGCGGCGGCCATGGCCAGGCAGGTGGTGCTGCCCGCCGTGCTGTGGATGAGGAAGTTGTCTTGTGGCAGCGTCACGTTCATCCCTTGGAACACGAACTTTATGGTCTGGACGGTGACCGGAACAGTGTAGCACGTGTCGAAGCCTCCAAGGGCTTGCACTGTCGTGTTGGGCCCCATCTGTCGACGGAACTCGTCCCTCACTGCTGCATATGCTGGCTCAACAAGCCTCGTGAACACCGTGCCTGAACACGTCATATCATTCAATCTCAAGTTTTTAAAATAACTTACAAATACATTGTCACAATTCATTTTCAAATAGCTAAAGATTGTCGTCCTTTTCTAAATTACGGAGTAATTAATACTCCCTGTGTGATTCCGCTTCCTATAAAAAGATCAACTATAATAATCCGTATTATTTTCTTTATTGCATTAATCTAAGTTAGATAATACGGAGTATTTATTTTCTTATTTTGGTGACAATCAAATATGATCATAATCATCACCATGATTCTAAATAGGGAAAACTATCCATTTGATTCTTATACTCTCATGAAAACGTTAACTCGTCGGTGAATCACTTGATGATATGCACACACATGTGATAGTCAGGTCAGCCGTGACTTAGCTGATGTGACACACACATTGAAGCCTAGTCAGCAATTTCACGATGACATGGTGCACATATGTCGACCAGGGGCGGAGTCAGGGCACTGGACCGGACTGGACTGGTACAAAGAATATTTTTAGAAAAAATTTTACACGAAATTTTTTACCTTAAATATTAAGCCATTTTTAAAATTTGGGGTGGGCCATGGCATAGGTTGGCCCACCCCTAGCTCCGCCCATGATGTCGACTGCAACGAGTGCGTTACATCAACGGGCAACCTGCTAACATGACAGGTAACCAACTAATTGACCCAATTGAACGTTTTGTCATATTTAAAGTATTTGATTGATTTTTTATAGTATAAAAACTTAATAGACGTTTTTGTGATAGTACGAGAACTAAATATATCACCCTTTTAAATATTAAAATGAGACTTTTAAAAAATAAGGATATTTTTCTTGGACTGTTTTCAGACTCACATAAAAAACCAAACTAAACTTAAATAAACCAAATTAGAATCCAAGAAAAAACATCTTAGGTGAAGTTAGAGATGTTATAGGAATTTGAAATGGGTTACCAGAATCGATAATGGTGCCGGCGCCTGTGACGGTATTGAGAGCCATTGCACTTGGAGGGATATCGACGAGGCGGCGCCCTACTCTGATCGCGACGAGGTTGACGTAGTACAGTGACGATCTCCGGGGATTTTTGAGCAACGGCGTGTAGCTAATGATCTTTGTGGGTTGACTTGAGGGACCCAGCCTCAGAGACCCGGCGAAATTCGGGGACTTAAAGCTGGGCAAGCAATAAGAGAAGGTGGATT